AGTTTATTAGATTTCCGTTGTGTGTTGTTCGTGTTTGTGTTGATCGTGTCTTGTATTTTTTGTCTAGGTCGTTGACCCCTGTAAGCCCGAGTGTCAAATTTATTATCCTGTTGGGATCTGACACTCTAGTATTACCCTGTTGGGTTCTTTTTAGTTTTTTTAGTTGTGTTGTTGGTTAGTTTAGTTGGGAGTTTTTATTCTAACATTGCTAGTCGAGATTCAATGCGGTCTTCTAACATGTCCTTCCACTTTTTCAGTTGTTTGTTGTTGTGTATTCAACCGTTGGCTGTTGTGTATTAAACACATTTGTGCATTGTTCGCTAATTATTTTTGCTATCCGCAAGTGTACGGCGTAGCTATAGATAGTGGCGAGCAAGGTCGTATTCCACAGAGATTGTAGTTAAATTAATTAAGTACTAAAATAATGACGATTAAATATTATTTAGACTACGAATGAGATGATGATTTTAAACTATGAAATTAAACTAAGAACTAATTTACCTAAAACAGTAAAAATAAATCAAGATATAAAAGAAAGATTCTAGGTTCTGCTTTCCTCGGAATTAATTCATGAAACGTTTATATTCATACAAACCTTATTTAATTTTACCAATCGTAGAGATAATCGCTAAATTGATTTCAACTTTTCTCTCGAACAAACAAATTGTAGATATTAATTGTTATCTATCTCCTCTCGGTCTCAAGATGAACAACTAACTCCCATAAGTTCCTAAGATTTCGTTCTCTCGCAGGATTCTATCAACCTCTCGGTCTGTTTAGTCTCCTACGTTATAAATTTCCCAATTCTAGCAATCAATTATCTCCTCTCGGTCTCAAATCAATTACAAATATACATTCATAGTGGCCATCTACGCACGCAATAAAAAATACGCAAAATAAATTTATAAACGAAAGATAAACCGGAATGAAATAAATAAAAACTAAATCATAAATCAATCCGAGTACTAACAAATCCTAGAATCCAAAATAAATTAGCCTAGAAACATGCTTTCAAAATAAGAAAAATAAACATAAAAGATTGAGTTCAAAAGAAGAAAAGAAAAAGAAAGAAAAAGCTTATTCGGCTCCGTCGATCCCTTCTTCCCGGGCTTTCTCCCTCGTCTTGCTCGTGTTTCTAGCCTCTAAAACTCTCCAAAGATCTGAAAATTAGGTCCAAGCCCCCTCAAAAACGTGTCCAGGTGTTATTTTTATAGTTGAGGTCGAGTCCTAGTCGAAATAGGTAAAAAATACTGAAAAAATAGGAAAAACGCGTAAAAGCAAATTTTGTCGCGCCCAGGGTCACACGACTCGTGTCTCTGGCCACACGAGTCGTGTGAAAAAGTCGAGACCAAGTTATGGACCTATTTCGAGCGACACGAGTCGTGTCCATGCCCACACGACTCGTGTGAGTCTGGGCAGCAACAAAACCTCGTTTTCAGCGTGGCTTTCAGCTTCTGATCAGGTAAAGGTCTCCTCCGGCGTCCCAGATAACCCCCATGTGATCATACGTGCTCCAGGTCGTCGGACATGGCATTTCCCGGCCATTTTTCCGGCGTCATGGCGTGAACGTGATCTGCAGCTTCCCAGGCAGAAGGACGGCGGCGCGCGGCTTCTTGGTTACTTTCTACGGCGTATCAGGAAGATTATAGGCGGTCTTACGTGGCATGGTGGTGGTTCTCCGGTGAGTTCAGGCCAGCTCCGGCGCGGATTTGGCGTCACAAGAAGTTCCAGGTGGTCAGGTCAGAGCTCCGGAGAAATTATGGCAGAGGCGATCAGTGAGGAGTGCCGACGGCGAGGTGGTGTGTGGATGAGCTTGGTCGAGCAGCTCCCAGTTCAACAATGGCGGATGGTTACGTGAATGAAGAAGATGAGTTCTTCTTTTCTATCAAATGACAATTATGCCCCTCAATTAAATGCCTCCTTGGACTGGACTTCTTTCTCATTCAATTACAAGAGAATGGGCTGATGCATACTGGCCCAACTTATGATTTTAATGGCTAGCTTTTAGGCCATATGATTGAACGTGTTCTTTGGCAATCTTAGTCCATTTGCCGTCTTTTCCGCCTCTAAAATTATTTCGGACTTATTTCCTGTCAAAACTCAAATATAACACTTTATCATAGCTTAATAAATATAATTAAATAATTAATTAATTAAATAATAATTAATTAAATATAATAAATTATATATCAAACTACGACGAAACGGACACAAAAATCACTATAAAATGCACGTAAAAATGACGCATGTCATGCATTTTGATTTATAATATTATCTATCGTTTTGAAAAAAAAATAAATAAGGTTTTGGTATAAAGTGAGTGATTTATTTGAGGTATCTGATTGTCATTTTTTTTCTTGGTAGAAACGTGTTACTAATAAATGTCCGAATTTATGGTATATAGTGAGCAATTTTATTTTAATTTGAAGTGTCCTAATTGAAATGGAATGAAAATTATTTGGTACGGATAGAAGTGTATTTAGAAATTTTGAAAACAAAATAAGTTGTATGAGTTTTATTTGGTATGAATATGAAAGTCGAATTTTATGTTGATTTGTTATAAAATGAAGGTGATATTATTCTTAAATTTGCCGTATTCGCATAACAACTTGCCATAAGATATTGAAGGTAATTCGTCTAATTGGTATGTATTCCTCTTGAAAACCAGAAAGATCTTTGAACAAATATTGATTGATAAAATTTAAAATTTGTAATTTATTCATATGAATTAGTTGATAAATTTGAACAATATGGTAACCGACAACAAACCTATAAAATTGCGAGATAATTATATATAAGAGTGAATTTACTGAGTAGTCGAAATTTGGGTTCCAAAGTTAAAAGTCAAATAAGTAATTATTCACAACCTACATGTCAATATTAACTTGGACGTAAATAGAATAGTCAAATATTTATGGTTTAATAAATTTCAACTACCCTTTTTTTATTAATTTGCATAGTTTATACAAAAAAATAATTAATAATTAAAGAAACAATATATATTTTGTAAATATACTTACTATTCACAAAGGGTTTTAAATATAAGATATAATTTTATCAAAATAATTATTTTATGAAATTACATTGTAGTCAAATCGAATTTCTACAAAAATTCAAAATGACAATTATTTGAAATGAATATAATGTAATTTATTATTATTTACGTGCACCGGACGAGTTGAATACTAATTTTAAATAGACATATTGATGAATGTTATAATTATTATAAAAAAAAAAAATAATGAACATTTTTAATGAATATCTTTTACTAGTGCATCGCACGTGATTTGTACTAGTTGGATTCTTAAAAGTATATAAAATCCTCATATTTAGGATTGCTTTTATATTTATACAACTTGAATTACAAATCTTTTATATATGATTCTTATATTTTATTTCGATTTCTTAGTGATAATGTATTTTTCAGATTTTGATGATCATACCGAAGAACTACACACATACAAGAAAACCATGACATGCTTGAACCACTAATTGTGCGAATTAATTTAGTTTATTTTTCTGTTGAAAAATATAAAAACATCTATACAAGGCTATAAAAATTGTACTTTAATTTTGCTGATATTGCATAAAAATTTATGTTCAAAACTCTGAATCAATAATTGCATACTATAATACGAACCAAAATTAAAGTATAATATTTATGCAATATCAACAAACTTGTATAGATGTCGAATTGGATAGGAAAGTGATTTTGAATATGTTACAAAAAAAATTACTTAAAATCGGATCTCCAATTTTCAAAATTATTACTATTATTCTTTTGAGTAATTTGAGTACACTTTTAAGTAATTTGAGTACAGAAAATTTTAAAATTATTAAAAAAAAAAAAATTGTACGCATAAAATTTCACACTTTAAGCAAGTTTATCAATTTTACAAATAAAATGAGATTTATTTTTACATTGAATGCAGACTACGACAATTTTGATATAAAAAAAAAAATATGTCTATTTTCAAAATCATCCTATTGATTTTTGAAACAATATATTTGTAATTTGACTTAATTATTGTGAAATTTTGAAACTTACAGAAAAAAAAAAATAAAAGAGATGAATTTCAATTGATGTGAAATTCTTAAACCACTTTGAATTTCGTGCAAATTGAAACCTAAACAATTGAAATTCATTATGATTCTATAATTTTCATGAAGTTTGTTAATTTTAAAGTGGCCCAAAATCCTCCATTTAAGGTTATCCGTCCAAGGATAGAAGCATGTGATTAGATATTTTTTAAATTCAATTTGAACAAAATCTTTTATATTAGGAAGAGCTTTTAAATTAAGCTCAATTTTATGACAACTAAAATGGGAGGGATTTTGAATTTCAAATTTTCAATTCAAGTTCTAAAGTACTTTTCTCGGCAATCTAATTGTTTTGAATAAAAAACACAATCGAATTTTTTAAATCAAATGAAAGGATTTTAAATTTTATATAATAATAATAGATGTGAGAAAACTAATAAATAATATTTTAATAATGTTGATCATGAGTGAAGTCGATTAACATGAGGCTCCAAGATGTCTATATAACTCTAAGATTTTTTATTCAAAGAAAAAACAAAATGGTTGGATGTGGAGATAAATATCAAAGTAATCGGTGCACTTCTTCAGGTATGATAATGATCTTACAGCTGCCGCACAAAAATATCTAGCCTTTTATTGATTATTTTATAGTGCAATCATACAAACCACAATAAAATTTTAATGGGAGCATACTATAAAGTAAGAATATGACATGACACAAGAGTACTGTGAGCCCATGCCCCAATTAATTTATTTTTTTTATTTTTTATTTTTTTTTTTTCATATCTTACTCTTTTTATGTATTATTATTATTTTTTTTTTACATATGCCCTATCTGTATTTTAATTAATTTAAAATGTGTTGAGGCTAAATGACAAATTCACAAGCTCTGGAAGTTGACATGACAAAAATCTATGTTTCGAAACGTTGTTTGTATATGAATTTTTTTGGCTTTGGAATTAGACTTCATATAGACATAAATAAATTATTTCTGACTTGACAAGTGTACATTTAATTTTGTTATTTTTTTCTCTTAGTACAATTTTTCTTCTTAATTTAAGCAAGTAATAATCTTACCATCTTATAATTTTCTCTTATATTTTTCTTAGAAATTACGATTCGCAAATCACTTTCTGCACTGTATATTTCTCTCTTTTTTTTTTCATTAACTAGTCCATCAAAATTTTTAAATAAAATTTTTATTTTAGCAATAACTCTTAAAATATTTTTTTTTTTAACTCAACACCCGTGTAGTACAATGGTAATTTACTAGTTCTTTTGATAATAAAAGATTTTTTCGAACACATGATTTAGGTCATCTAACCCTCATCTATACTCTAGTCCGAATTTACACATATTTAATTATTTAAATTGTTATCACTATATAATTAATAAAATACAAATAGTACAACAATATTTATGTAAAAATTATATTATATGTTAAAATATGTATCAAGTATTTACTAAAATATTAAGTAATATTGAAGAGATTTCAATATATAATGCAAGTCATTGAATATAAATTTCTTGTGTCTAGCAATTTATCACATTTTTTTCCTATCATAAATAAATTTGTTAAATGAAGATATGCATTAGGTTGAAAAAAAATTGTGGTATATTTTTATTTATATGTATTTATTTTAATATTAAAAAATTTACAAAATAAAATTATCGTACATTAGTAACTAAAAAACCCAAAATTATTTAACATAATAAATACATTTACTACTACACTACCTAAATTTACGGAACAAGATTATGTGTCCTGACTTATTTTATTAATTAACTTTTTCTTATATTTTTATTGGCCATTTTTTGTGGATATTCACACACACACACACACTAATAACATAGTTAACTTCATAGGACTCACCACACTTACTTACAAAAGGGCCAAACTATGATTTCAAAAATTGTTAGTGGTTACACAGGTTCGCTCCAACTCGGCTCAGCCGGTCATATATGTTGAGCATCTCCTAGTGTGCTTACTCTATATTCTTGGCTTGGACCATCCTGATGACCGAGTCTCGTCGTTGTATTTGGCTCATTCAAAAAACGCGCTCGAAGTCTCACGAGACATCTTGGCTCGACTCATCTCGGACATAGGTGACCGACTCATTTAAGCTGATTAAATTTTAAGTACAATTTTCGTTAAATACACAGATTTAACGATATTTTATTTCAACAAATTATATATAGAAATTATGAGAAATATTACGGTCCCGTTACAGAATCATTTCGTTATAAATTTTGCCGATAGATATATATGTAGTTAGTATTAAAATATATAATTTAACGGTTAAAATATTCGACCGGGATGATTACGTAACAGGACCACAACATTTTCTGTAAATTATTACTATACTAGTATAACACCCGTGTATTACACGGGTGCTTGCTAATTTTTTTTCTTAAAGTCTAAAATTAATGAGAAAAAGTAGTTGAAAATTTATATACTTTTTACAAAAATATAGATATTATTATATATTAGCATAAAAACTTTTTATTTGTGCGACTTACCTGTATTATATTATAATAATTTTTAACTTACAACATATAACTACATTAAAAATAAATATATCAATTGATAAATAATTTTATTTTACTAATAATTTTAATAAATATTATTATTTTTTATTATTATAAAGATAAACATAATTTATTTATTTCATATATACAATATGGATGTCAAATCGAAGATCATCAAAAGATGATTAATTTGATATATAATATATGTAAGACCGAAAAAGAAGTACAAAAGTTATCAACTTTTAAAATACATTTATAATTAAATAGTTAATTGAAGGAAACAAATCAAAGTCAGGGATATATTAGTCACTTAGTGCCTCACTATGTAAAATTACAAATAATTAAAGGGTTATATTAGTACAAGTGATATTAAAATACCTAAGTTAACTAAATAATATTTATGGAATGTCCGAATCTAAATTATTAATTATTAATATACAATATTATTTGTCCAAACCTAATTATGAAGCATGATTTTTCGCCAAGTAGGATTTCAAAGCACCAGAACCAGCCACGTAGGCTCAGCGGATTCTGAAATTATATATAGAGAGGATACAGAGAGGATTGTAGAGCATCATTTATTATTTTGCAGTACTTAAAACCACACAAATGATTGTGAACCGTTCAATTTCTATCCCCAACAACTTACAACTCTCCACCTTTTCAGATATTTTTCTCCCAAAGATAAGTATCAAACACTTTCACCTCTTTTGCTCTATGATAAGTATATATACACTCATTATAACTGCTTATGCTCTCATCCCCAAATCAAAGCTCTACTTCAAAATTAACCAGTGAAAAAAACAAGAAAATTCAAGAAAAGAAAAAAATCAACATCTCTGATAAAAACATGGCGGCCATGGCTACAACCATCACCTCCTCTCTCGCCAAATCCTCCTTCCACGGCGCGCAGATCCGCTCACGCGCCGCCCTCCCAACCAGATCCGCCACTCATAACCTCTCCGTCGCGGCGTCGATGTTGGCGTCCTCCTCCCCGTCTCCTGATACGCCGTATGACCTCAGCACCTTTCAATTCCGGCCGATCAAGGAGTCGATCGTCGCCCGGGAGATGACCCGCCGGTACATGACCGACATGATCACCTACGCCGACACAGACGTCGTCATCGTCGGCGCCGGATCCGCCGGCCTCTCCTGCGCCTACGAGCTCAGTAAGAACCCCGACATCAGCGTCGCCATTATCGAGCAGTCCGTCAGCCCCGGCGGCGGCGCGTGGCTTGGCGGCCAGCTGTTCTCCGCCATGGTCGTCCGCAAGCCGGCGCACCTCTTCCTCGACGAGATCGGCGTGGCCTACGACGAGCAGGAGGACTACGTCGTAATCAAGCACGCTGCCCTCTTCACCTCCACCATCATGAGCCGCCTCCTCGCCCGCCCCAACGTCAAGCTGTTCAACGCTGTGGCCGCCGAGGACCTGATCGTGAAGTCCGGCAGGGTCGCCGGCGTCGTCACCAACTGGGCGCTGGTCTCGATGAACCACGACACACAGTCGTGTATGGATCCGAACGTGATGGAGGCTAAGGTGGTCGTGAGCTCGTGCGGCCACGACGGGCCGTTCGGGGCCACCGGTGTCAAGCGGCTCAGGAGCATAGGGATGATTGAGAGCGTGCCCGGGATGAAGGCGCTCGACATGAACGCAGCCGAGGATGCCATCGTCCGCCTCACACGGGAGATTGTTCCGGGGATGATCGTCACCGGAATGGAGGTCGCCGAGATCGACGGGTCACCAAGAATGGTGAGTAAAATTACTGTTTTACCCTTGTTGAATGTGGGCCTGATTATTTTATTATTATTCTTATTTTTTTTTAACACTTGGATGCACACATATTATTGTTGGTGTGATTGTGCCTTGTGGTGCATGATTAGACTGTGCACCCACGGTTAGTTACTAGGGCTGCAAACGAGTCGAGCCGAATCGAGCATTGAGTCGAGCAGGATTGAGTTTTTTTTAGCTCCTCGAGCTCGACTCTATAAAAAATTTCAATAACTCGAGCTCTCGAGCTCGACTCGAAATCAAAATGCTCGGTCTCGGCTCAAAAATTTTTAAGTTCCTTTTTAAGTGGAACGGTATAATTACCATTATAACACCAATGCTAATATATATAAAATAGGGTATTTTAGCAATTTAACGTGTAACTCAAAGTAAAATATTAGCTCGAGATCGGCTGGATTTCGTGTTTGAGCCGGTCAAACTCGAGCTCGAGTCGGGCTTTCACTCGAGCGCTCGCGAGCCGTTGGATAGCCCTTGCTCGATTCGTTTGCAGCCCTAGTAGGATAGGATAAAGCCTTCATCAAAATTGGTAATTAAATTACTATGTTGCGGGTGAGCAAAACCGAGCGGAAACTGAAAAATTGAGCCGAATCGAGTAATTCGGTGCGGTTCGGTTCAGTTCGGTTTTTTTCCAACATTGCGGTGCGGTTCGGTTAAAGCTTTTTCTTAAGTTCGGTTTTTGGTTTTGTTCGGTTCGGTGCGGTTTTTCTCCGAACTGCACTAAATTGCATAAAATGTACATAAAAATTGAGACAAAATCGAAAAGCGAACCGAGTTGTGCATTTCGGTGCGGTTCGGTTCGGTTATTTTAGTGTATAAAACATTCAATTCGGTTTCGGTTCGGTTTTTTTCTTAAAAAAAAATTTGCGGTGCGGTTCGGTTATTTTTTTGTCGAGTTTGGTTTTCGGTTTTTTGCGGTTTGATGCGGTTTCTCACCGAACCTCACCGTTGCTCACCCCTTACCCTTGGTAACAGGGTCGAATTTTTAACGGTGGATCAACACTCATTAATGTTGGTGTGTGTTAGTTTGTAATCCAGTCGTTAAAACTCGATTATAGTGCTTTTGTTGGAGATCTAACTCTAAAAAAAAGATTAGGATACTATTTAACCTTCCACAAAAAACTGTAATTAAGGTTATTATTTTACCCTTGTCGAGGAGGACTGAGTTTTTACAGTTGAGTCACCACACATTTATATTGTTTTGTTTTTGCAGGGGCCGACGTTTGGGGCGATGATGATCTCAGGTCAGAAAGCGGCCCATTTAGCGCTGAGGGCTTTGGGCCAACCGAATGCGTTGGACAATGGGTCTTACAGCAATGAGAAAGAGGCCCAGCCGGAATTCACCCTGGCCTCAGCCGAGGTTGATGAGGTCGTCGATGTGTAGATTTGGGAATCGACTAGCCCAAAATAAAGCCGAGAATAAAACGAGACTTTGACACGTGGTTGGATTCGGTTGTTAGGGCTGTGTAGTTTTGAGTGTCACGTTAGCATTTTATTTTCATGAATTTTAAAAAGTCTGGTTTTGATTATGGGAGTTTTATCAGTGTTATGAAGGTTTTAGTATTGTTGCTATTTGGAATATGGAAACTTGTAACACCTCAGGGAGTACATGTAATGTACAATGTAATGGACTTGAACTAGCAATGGAGAGTGAAATTAAATTAACTTGGTTATATAAATCACAATGGATGCACCTTATAATAGATTTTACCGTATTGGGGTTGGTAATCGTTAGGTCAACTATACACGACGGTTATATGATAATCTAACGGTTATAAATCTCGACGGAATGGTTTCGTAACGATATTGTAGTATTTTCTATTATTATAATTGTTAATGTATAATATTTAATGTGAAAAAACATAATTTTACTAAGATTATTGTTTAAGATATTTCAATTAATGGAGAAATTATATCATATTTGTTAAAAATGTATAACTATACAACAGCTAAATTTATATAAATTAATAAAGTGAAAGTTAAACCAAGACATTTCAAGGATTTTTTGGTTTGTAAACATGTAAACCATCATGGATTATTTGACCAACTCCTTTTTATTTATTTTTTTCATTTATTATTTAATTTAAAAATTAATTCAGAAATCTCCACACAAAATCTTTGCACCAGAGCGAGATTTCATCATTTCCTTTTTCCGCTTGCATTTTGATTATTCTTGCTTCTGTTTCTCAGTTTCTCTCTCTACGCGGCCGCCGCCGTGTCTTATTTGGGGAGAGAAGGTTCTCATTCGCGCCACCGATCTGTGCTCAGGTAGTTATTGGCTTGTTGAATTCGTAGTGTCTGTTGGGCTGTAGCGAATTTTAGATCTAATCGGCTGTTTAAGTTTGTTTTTTTTTTTTGCTGCTTTGCGTCGGGAAGTATTTGGGTATTGTTTGTTTTTGTGGTTGGGCTGTGCTGATTGCTGAACAATTTGGTGTTGGGGTGCATTGATTTTGAGTTATGTTTTATAGCCATTAGGGTTGGTTTTTGCTTGATTTTTGTTGATCGGAGGGTGTCCTCTTTGGGAGCTGGCTTGAGCTTTGCATATTTTATATGTTTTCGTTTGAGTTGAAAATTATTGGTTTGTAAAAGAGATTTACTAAAATAATTATTAATCTTTAGGAGCTGGGCTGTGAGCAGTTATCATGGGGAAGGGGAAGAAGATTAAGTCCTCGAAAAGGAAAATCAGAGAACACGAGTCAGAAGCTAGTGAAGTCTTGTTTGACAAAAGTAAGCTCAAAGATTATCTTTTTTCCTTTTTAAATTTTTTGAAAAATTTCAGGTTGTTTAAGCTCTGCTAGGATTGTGGCTTCTAGCTGGTAGTATATGTAGCCTGTCTAAGGAAGAGAAATAGTTATGGAACGAGGTCGAAAGGCTTCTGTGTAATTTTGTGGGGGGTTTTGAATTGGGTTCTTAGTTTTATGTGTTCTAGGAGGATATTGTGTTTTGTTTGCCTAATGCATACTGTAATTGTGCTTGCATCTACTTTTTGAATTTTGTGGATTTTAAATTGGTTTCTTATGTTCATGTATTATTCTAGTTACACTTTTTGTCCATAGCTTCTGAATGAACAATTCAATGTTGGTTATATAGAGTTCATACTACATTACAATTTGTAACCGTTGGTAAGGTTCAATACTGCCAATTTCTGATGATGGAAAAGTTTTAGTTGTCTGTATTCCATAGACCTTGTGTAGTTTTGGGACACTGTACTGCCAAAAGACTGCATTTTTTTTTTTTTTTTTCAATTTCTAAAGTTTGAGAAAGTGTTATGGCTATCTTTTCTCTTTAAGCTCTCGAAAATAAAGATGGAGACGTGATAGTTGACTTGAGTGAACCAACCATGGGTGAAAAACTTGCGATCCTCAACCTTGAAGAAAACAAAGAAGCTATGGACAATAATAATGCAGAAGTTTCTCCTGATACAAAGCCACCTAGTGCAGACTCGATTTATGTCTTGCTCAAGCAGGCGCTCAGAGCCGATGATCGAGCACTCCTCATAGATTGCTTATTCAGACAAGATGAGAAGGTCTTATTAGTTGCATTGATTTATAAAGTTTGTTTCCTATATAAATTCGCCTCATGAGCAGCCTGTTTCTGAAGAATAATCTTACGTGTCATTATTATGTTTTGTAGGTAATTGCAAATTCGTTGTCACTGTTGAACCCTTTAGACGTTGGCCAGTTATTGCAGTCTCTTGTACCAATAGTCCATTTGAGGTAAGGAAGCTAAAAGAATTTCTATTATTCGTTCCGGATATAACATTGACACTGAGTTGGATTATTTAAGTTTTCTTTTAAAATTTTGAAAATCATATTCTTGGTAAATCTGCCAGAAAAATGTCCGAAGAGTATCTCGCCTTGTTTCTTCCCCTGTTACTGCAAAATAGATCTAGCTAATGCAAGATCTAAATTTTTCCCGTAATTTTAATGTTATGAGCATATTAGTCGCAAAAACTTTAATGTTCTGTTTAGGAAGTTCTAAGGAACTGCATCATCGAAACTTGAATGAACACTCGTTAACAAAAGAATTAGGATCGAGTCCAACTCCATTCACATTAACTACTATATACACATAACTTTATTTTCATATTATTTTTTTCTTTTTTGGGAGCACATGTCCTGGAAGGATAGGGGTGACAGGTGCCTGAAACCAAAATCACTGTTCCGGACTTGAAAGAATAACTGATTATTAACTTAATTTATTTTATAATTGATGTTTTCTCGTGAATTTTTCATTGACAGTCTGAATTAATATTTTAACTTAATTGTTTGCATAATTTGCAGGGGTGCTGTATTGGCCTGTGCTATTCCATGGCTAAGGAGTTTACTTCTTCAACATGCAGGCAGCATAATGTCTCAAGAAGCTTCTTTGGCCGCTCTAAACTCTATATATCAGGTTCAATGACTTCAAAGCATAATTTGACCAGTAAATACGAAATATATCACATAACACGGGATACAGATTATTAACATGATGAAATATAATGCCAACAGTATTCGAAATAGTGCGTTGCTAAATAAATTAACATGGTAAAACAATTGTTTAAAATAAACTTATTTAAACAGCCTACAAGATGAATGGAACTTCCAAAGTGCGACGAATTTTCGATTTTGAGGATGTTTGTCATATTTCATCAGATCACCGCAAGATGAAGCTCAGGATAAACAACGTATATTTTAACATAATGTAACAATGAAAATTTTACTGATCAACTTTTAACATCGTTACAGCTCATAGAGTCTAGAGTCTCCAATTTTAGCCACACTCTTCAACTATCGAGTTGCTTGGACTTGCTGTATACTGAGGTCAGTGCACATTTCTGAAAATAGTTATATCTTAATCCTTTTTTTTTTTTTGTTTTTTCTCTGATCAATGGAAGAGGCTGAATTTTATTATTATTATTTTTTATTTTTATTTTTCCGGTAGACGATTGATGATGAAAGGGAGGAGAATGATGTGGTGGCACCTGTAATATACGAGGACGAGGATGAAAGTGATGAAGAGGGAGTTGATGAAGATTCTATGGAGGTCGAAAGTGTTGAAGATGGTGAAGAAGAGGCTCGTGTGTACAATGATATTAGTGATGATGAGGAAAATGGTGAGATTAGCGAATGAATGAGGTTCGGTTTTTGATACTCAATTGTGCCGTGCAGCAATTTATTTATGCAGGTTATTTTCTCCGGTGATTTTGTTTCTTTCTTCCAAAGAGATGGATGATATGGGTGTGTGTACTGAGTTTAAACGACAGCACATCAAATCATTTTAAGAGATTAATTGTAGTACTGCAAAATGTGTTTTCTGTTGTGTATGTGGTGAAATTACCACTAATCTTATCATTACAATAATTTATTTATGATGTGCATAGAAGTGTGTGCCAATGTGCCTATAAAAGGGGCCACACACTTTGTAAAAGTTGTACTTGAAAAACGTAAGAAAAAGAGAAATAAGAATAGCAGCTTATAATTTTGTTTCGGTTTTTATACATTGTGTTCTTTATATTGCTCGTATTTCATAACACGTTATCAGCACGAACGCTCTACCCGGTCAAGAAAGGTATGATATATATACATATTGCTATTATTTTTGACAAGTTAGGCTCTGCTACAGTCAAATATATATATATATATATTACTATTATTCTTGACAAGTTAGGCTCTGCCACAGTCGAGATATGTATACTAAATATGATGTTATCTACACGTTACCATTATTATTGGCAAATTAGGCTATGCCATAGTCAATAATATGTGGTGATATGATATTATTAAATTTGCTTATGAATTATTTTTCAAATTATAATAAATGTTATTATTTATACTTAACACCCACAAAAATGGTTTACCCAGTAATGTGGCGTGAAATTTATAACTGTTTATTCTTGTACCCACCGTAAAATTTATCAAATAATGTGGAGCATTTTTTACTTACTTTGTTATATTCGCGAAAATGTTCATCAAATAATTCGGAAAATCTTTAAGGTAATATACATGATTAATTAGAATTTTATGATCATAAATGATTAATTAGCAAATATTATATCATTAAATTTGTTTCCAACGGCTAGTTAACGGCTATATTGTAACGGCTATTTACCAATATCTATATATATCACTACTATTCATTTTCATAATACAAACACTCAAAATATATTTTCTTTATAAGAAAAAAAAAAAGAAAAAAAAATGTTTGATCCATTACTTATAATTACCATTATCTTGTTTATTATATATGTTTTCCTAATTTTCAAAATGATGTATCGTACTGTTGGATTTAAATTTTATGTATTACAACTTTGTATAATGTGTTTAGTATTTGCTCTTATGTACGTATTGAAGAATTAATGATTGTATATGTAATTTTTCGAATCTAAGCTTTGATGTTTTA